AAATCGACTCTTACAAGATTATAGTTGGTTTCATTACTCCTTTTGAGGACATTCTGGAAAACCCTATATATATACACGTACGTTTCTGGTCTATTTATAAATGGAAATCGGGTGTCCTTAAAAATGTAAACTCAATGTTACTTCCTTGTACCTGTAATTAATAAGTATGTTAATTATGGGCTGTTAGCGTGTTTCTTTAATGAGTTTATTTTTTTTCCTTTCAGGTATCTACGCATGGTTATTTTTATAATCTGGTCAGCTAATAAACAGAGACTGCTTTCAAATTGGAATGTATTTTTGTATTTGTGACTCCTTAGCCTGCTTCTCTCTGCCTTCCTTTATTGTGGCAGATCTTGGTGTGATAAAATTAAGCCACATCGGTAGCTCATTATACAGGCAGAATCAGCTCATTATACAGGCAGAATCATATGGAAAACATCTCTTGGGTTCTTAAAAGTTTTTCTCTACAAAAAAGGAGATGCTAATTTTTCACTTTTGAATTGTGCTGAGTGAGTCAAAATGGGATTAAGAAAGCTTGTTTCATATGCATTTGTATGTGATTTGTAGGTAAAGTAATAAAAGTTTGGTTTACCAAAGATATAGTCGCTGAAATTCGATTTCTCAGACTTTGGCTTGCGTGTTAAACTACCTTATTCTTGATTTGCATCTTTTGCCATACTTAGGTGAGTTATGAACAATTCCATTACATATGGATATTAAGGAGAAGGAAACAGAATTTGTGCAAATGGATGCAAGTTATTTTGTAGCATCTTAGCACTCAGTGAAATTAATGACCAGAAACTTGGAAGTTCTGGCATTTAATAAAAAACATTCGTTTATTTTATGTACCATCTTGCCTAGACTAGTGAACTGAAAAATTTAAGTGTAGACTGTAATATGAAGTATATACATAAAAGTAAGAATTTTTGTGATCCTCATTGATTGTGCAAGGATCTGATACATTGTGAAACAGATGCCTTGTTAATTCTTTTGGCCCTGTTGGAACATAGTCATTAATTGCTAGACACCTGTACTTAAGAATTTCTTTAAATTTCTTGTTCCTGGTCTTGGAAACTGTTTCTCTGGCTTAGTGAGTTTCTTAAGGGTCAGTGAATTCTAGAAAGAAATTAAGAAGATAACTTAGTTTATAAAAATGTATGTTTATGAGTGTACCCATGTTTTGCTAGAAATGTATTACCTTAGCTGTTGGGTCAATGTAAAAAACCAGAATTATTAATCTCTAGGTGGAGCCAAAGAGTTTATTTTGAAATTCTTATTTTATTTTACTAGTTAGGTAGATGTAGGTTACACCTCCCCCCAGTCTTCACACTTCCAGTGTCCTGAAAAGTGGGCGTGGCTCAGAAGGTGGAGCCTTTTTGACTTCCAGGTTAGTGAGGGCTATCAGTGGCGTTTTCACCATCAGAATTAAGACTATCTAGTTACAGAATAAAATTGTGCAGATGGCATATTGCTTACTACCTAGGGGTGAGTAGGTGAATCAAAGGTAGAAAGTCCCCATTGGG